AGTATACGAGAAAAGCCTGTGGCTTATTTTTTTCAGAATTATCAGGGTTTTATTTTGTAGTTATTTTCAATAAACGATGCCCTAGCAGACTTCATCGATTAACAAAAAATAACGATCGTCGCAATATTTTTGAGGAAACGTTGCTGTGTTCATGTAGAGCGCTGAAGTATTTTGTACTCGCCAAAATAGCGAATTTCTTCGTCGTTAAAAGGCGTTTTTACTATATATTTCGAAGTTGACTTGCCAGACCTGTGCCTTCGATGGAAAGCAGGCTTTTTTTAGAGCCAATAGCAAAAATGCCAGTTTTCATTCTTAGAATACACTGTGCAGTATCGCAGTGACGATCTAAAAGAAACCAGCACGTTGAATGCAATGCAACAATATATTCAATATATAATTTAGTGATAGTGAAAATCTTTCAATGTATGAATTAATGTATACTTGTATTTGTATTGCTTTGTTTGCCCTCAAGGATCSACCCTCAAGGAGRCATGACTATTCTATGTGTGTGAGCGGCCGCCATCAAGAGTGAAAGCTCAACAATACATTATTATACCACTACATTTYTGCATTTCTCCTGTATTGAGACATGCACACATATTATCCAGAGCTAGGTAAGAGCGTTACACAGGGTTCGTACAGTCTTGAAAGGTCCTTGATTTTTGAGCTACGTCCTTGAGGTGAAAAGTCCTTGATTGATTATTATCCTTATGAAAACTCTTTGAACTTGGAGGAAAAGGTCCTTGAAAATGATAATTTAGTCCTTGAATCAGTCTTGGTTGTTGTAAAGTAATGTTTTAGGGATCAATTTAGCCAAGATCCGAAGTAAAATGATACGAATTCAATACTTTTTGCGATACTTATTTGTCTAATATGGCGGCCAATAAATTAATCGAGATTGAGGAAAATCTTCTCTAGAAGAAAAAGTTCTTAAGTGCCATGTTCTTATTGTTGTGTTTGGTAAGACACAGGTTTATTAAGTTTAGTTTAGTTTAGTAAAATTGAAAAATAATCCTCAAAAAGTCCTTGAATTTTGTATTAAAAATCTGTACGAACCCTGTTTACAGTCTTATCCAAAACTAGAACCCCCATCTTATAAGGTCTGCACACACCCTTGCAGGTACATACCAAAGTTTCATCCCTCTAACTTTTTGAAAGTGCCAACTGACAACACAATAGGAATGGCACCAAACGAGGTGTAAAAGCGTTTATGGATTCTTGGAAAGTGCAGTTGGCACTTTTATTAAAGGTGTATATAGTCAATTTACAAGAGAGAAAAGGTTGTTTCACGAAACGCGACTAGCCCGAACTGGTTTCTGAGTAAAAATCAGTGAACTGGCAAATTAGAGATTTGAATGCCTTTGTGATTGGAAGAACTGACRCATAATGTGTGAAAAAAATTTCAAATCACGGGAATTTAATTATGCATGCATGTGATGTTAGTTTTTGCATCTCACACTGCTTTCCATCATAGCAGGGGATACAACTTACAATGTTTGTCTTCGAGTTATTGAATAAGAGAATAAAAGCCTGAAAAAGAAAATAAAAACCTTCTATACTAGAAGGTGTTGTTCTGCCTAATTTGCCAGTTCATTGATTTTTACCCAGAAACCTGTTCGGGTGGGTCGCGTGCTAGGGAGTCCGGTATCGACGACAATCTTTTGTCAATCGACTATATGCAACTTTTATTCCGTATACATTTCTGTTGGTTAGTTTTGCAGAATAAATATGTAAATAGAAAATTATAATTAGAAAACAATCGTGGAGTTGTATCTCATTAGATATATTAAGAATCTCATCATAAAACTAAAGCAATGATTACTGCGGTTTTCCGTTTTCTGCGAACTTTAGCTCTAGGAACTTTAACGGTCATTTGCTGTTTTTGCTCCCGTCAATCAAAATTCCGAAGTAAACGAACTGCTTTCGTGGCCTTCCACAAAACCGAAACCAAGTCCGAAAGTCCGCCATCTTGAACATCTCCAATTTCCCTGTATATCTTCAAGATTTTGTGCACAAATGTCTATCCAACAGGCAGTACTTGGAAGAAGTTTTTTGGGGAATGTGGCCGACATGCATGAAAACAATTCTCCATCGAAGATCACGAGCTAAACTCACGAGGCAAGAAACAAACAACATGGCAGACTTTCGGACTTGGTTCGGTTTTGTGGGAGAAGTCACGAAAAGCAGTTCGTTTACTTCGGAATTTTGATTGACGGGAGCAAAAACTGCAAATGACCGTTAACGTTCGCATTGCTAGAGTTCGCAGAAAACGGAAAACCGCAGTAATCAGACGAAAACAAAATTATAGTAGTTAGATTTTAAACAGGTTTTAAAGAACTTATAGGAGCTTCATCTATATATATGAATTGATAGATCGATCGATCGATCAATCCGTAAGCTTTGTTGATTAAACCTAAAATTTATGCATCATGTATGAAAAAGGTCTAGAAGCAGCTTGGTTTAATTATAAGTATGATAATGTTATATTTACATAAATGCTGTAATTTTAATTTAAAAATGTATTATTATATGTCGGTCAATAAAACTGCTCAATGACCACAAACTCTTGATGCCTTCAGCTCATGTTTCAAAATCCTTCAGGAGGAGCCGGCGGGGTCTCTTCTTCTAAATAACTGTTCTTGCACGAATTTTTTCCTGGAAAAGGAATTTTGAGCTACATTGTTGAAAATCTCACAAGCAAATGTGCCRCACTTCCTTCCTTAAGATAATGATTTTCCTGGCAAACGTTTTTAATGTCAAAAATGGCTTATATAACGTCAGTTTTATGATCAAAACGGCTAGTTATGTTTTTATAATAGTTAGGAAATTTTTATTTTCCTGGCAAAAATTCTTAGAAGTATTGCCTGGAGAGTTATTTTTTCCTTGAAATTTCTCGCTGGCAACCAGTTGTGACTTACAGCTGGCTGGGACATAAGAACAGATGTATTTATCCCACGAACCCGTCGGCTCCTCCTAATCCTTTCTTGATCATCCCAACAATCACCAGGAACAATGTGTCTGACAGACAATGGAAACATAGTAAATACCTTCTAATACTTTCATAAAATAAAATAAATGAGGCAAACAGACAAACACAAAATTAAATTTACAGATGTGCCCCTGCTAAACTTTTCAATATGCTACAAGAAAGCGTGGTCATACAGGATATGCATCTTTCAATGGAAGAGCAACCTAGACTGGGGCTCTGGGGTATTATGTATCTTGTTGCAATCATGAAAAAAGCTAGATGTCCACAACCTTGTTTTTAATGCTTTCTTACAATACCCTCATTGACTTTTGTCCAGTTGTAGTTTTTCTCTTCGTCTTGCACGAGACTCACATTTCTTAGCTTTTTTCTCCCTCTCATTATTATATTCTATGATCAGTGACCGTGGAGCATACTAGCGGAGGGACAATTGAATAAAAGGCTTGAAAAAAATAAAGTTAATCAAAAAGACAAACGCAACTAGATTCATTTTTGCGACGTTTCGACATCCTCTGATGCCATTCTCAAGCAATTTTGAATTTATTACAACTGAAGAGCTATATATACACATGAAACAATAGCGAAAAACAATAANACCCAGGCCTTAACACCCTTGAGGTTGCGTTTGTCTTTTTGATTAACTTTATTTCAAGAAAAAAATAAAATAAAAATAAATAAAAAAAATCTCTGACCTCAAAAAATTCAAACTAAATTTTCATTCATATACCGAAACAGTATACAGGAATATTAATTGGCATTTCTTTATTGCCTATATGCTGCTATATCACGTTTTTTTACACGATGCTGTTTGTGTGCAGGTCCGTAGMTAGGCTGCCTTACAAATTTGGGGGTTCGTTTTTTTTTCATAATGCTGACCTAAATTAAATGTTGAACTACAGCAATATGCAGAAATTCTGACCACTCTGACTCATATTTCAACTATATATAAAATATATCAGAAATTATGGGATATGGTCACTGATATTTTTTTGAAGTTGCCTAGGATCAGTAGTATCTGAAAAAAATATCAGCGATGATATCCCATAATTTCTGATATATTTTATATATAGTTGGAATATGAGTCAAAGTGGTCAGAATTTCTGCATATTGCTGTAGATTAGTTCCATGCACAGGTATAAAAAAAACAGCTCATAACAAAAGAATTTTAAAATAGAACAATAACAAAAGAGAAACACGGGACCTTTGAAGCTTGTGGGGGGTTCGTGCGATTAACCTGCCAAGACCTCGGGCCTGGTGTGTCAATTACATATATATGTTCATATTTAAACAAAATAAATTATGTTCTTAAAAAAAAAAGAATAAAAAAACAGAATAAAAAAAAACAGAATGAATAAATTAATAAATACATTAATTAAAAAAAATGATTAATTAAATTAAATTAAATTAAATTAAATTAAATTAAATTAAATTAAATTAAATTAAATTAAATTAAATTAACATTTTTAAAAGTTTAAAAACTTTAGGTTTTTGTGTTATAGAGATACCTTCGATAGTTTACACTGATTGATTTCACTTACATAAGCCTCCCGATAGTACCCACCCAAGAGTATCCACCTCGTCACAACATCACGCTAACATATCGTAAGAAAACGCACACAGGCGCGTAGCGTCTTTACGCATATACGCACGTTCATACTAGTGGTAAAATTTAAAATTTTCATAAACAATTACTGAAAAAATCACATAAAATTGATTCTTTTTATATACCCTCGATCTCTTAAAATTCTGGAAATCGCATTTTCGAGAGTTATTATTTCAAAATTGGCGGTCGTTAGGCCCCTAGATCGAAAATATGTGTCGCGTTCCCTGACAGGTAGCTAGACGTGCGTASTAGCCAAAACGTCCACGCTACGCGCTAATCTTACCCGTCACAAAAGGGTAAGTACACTCACAACAAGAATGGGGTGAAAGGGGGGGTGTAAATGACTAAATCTGCCAAGAATAAACCCAAACCCCTAATAAATTTAAATATTAAAATATTTAGTTCAAAGAGTTCAATGTTGCAAAGACGTGATTTTATTTATAAAAAAAATAATAATAATGTTTCACATAATTCAGCTATCCTATCTATTGTAGATTTGTACATTGTTTATAATAATTATCACCTATATACACTAAATGTATTACCAATATAATAGCAATAATAACGAGTTTTACTATCTGTTACTACTTGCAKCGTGAATGGCCAGGAGTTCCCAGCAACTCCAGAGAGTTTGGGAAGATGACTAGGCCGGCCAGTCAACTTYAGACAGCAATCGATATATTGTTCACACGGAGCTTGTAGAGTGAACGCACTTAATCCGTGCAACTGTTCAAAATCTAAGTAGTATTTTAATACTTTTGGTACAAATTAAAATTTGTACTAAAAGTGGACCTGAAGCAAGACGGTATTGAATGCTCCATTTGTATCAACTAAATTTCATTTACGTACCGCACGCACGATTTATTAAATACAACTAAAAAGCACTATTTAGTTTGTACAGTTGCACGGATTAAGTGCGTTCACTCTAGCTTAATAAATATTACCAATATCACACTGTATAAAATAAACAATTTATAGTTGTGAGGTCAATCAAATCAGAAGAAAATCTGGACAAAAAGTGAATCATCAGTGGTTAGAGTGAACCGTTCAACTGTACAAAATCTAAGTAGTATTAATTTGTACTAAAAGTGGACCTGAAGCAAGACGGTATTGATTGCTTCATTTGTATCAATTCAATTTAATTTGCGAAGTGCGATCACTCTACCGTCTTGCTTCAGGYCCACTTTTAGTACAAATTAGTACTACTTAGACTTTTTAAAGTTGCACGGTTTAAGTGCGATCATAACGATGGATTTAATGCTCTTTACAGTCGAATAGTCAACATTGCTATYGTGGAAATGCACTTTTACATCAATGCGTTAAACAATCAGCCCAAGCAAAGAGTCTAGATATGAACAGAGCAGATTCATAATTATAGTAATTATAATGACAAGCCTGACACAACATGGTGCACCATACATCATCAAGGAGAACATGGTGTTTACCATATACAACATATTACTAAACGTTTTCAACATCTTTCATATTTGGCATGCACACCTTAATATTTGAATCAAAAGCTATTTCATGCCGTTAAATTACCAATATTTATATAAGGAGTCAATGTCCTTATAAGGCATCAATAGAATGCTACAGTATGCAGTAAGTTTCTACTTGTCTTTTTTTCAGTTCGTTGTAACAAATCTTCTATTTCATTTTCAATATCATCAAGGTCTTCGATCTGTGTGAAAACAAACAATGATGTTAAACACCTGCACRCTTAGAGCAAACGCAGGAAAACCATGAAATAAAATCAAACTAAATACTAACAAATAGCGTCTATTTAGAGACAATTTGTCAGTATCAATGAACCAGAACACAATGAAGATGAATCCACATGGGACCATTTTTTATTCATCTTTATTGCGTTCTGGTTCATTGATACTAACAAATTGTCTCTCAATAGCCGCTATTTGTTAGTATTTAGTTTGATTTTATTTTATGGTTTTCGTTTGCTCTAAGACATAAAGACAGTAACATTGTTGTCATTTGCATAAAATTCTTTGAACACTTTTGGAAGAATTCAATTTTAGATAAAGAGAAAATCAACAGTTATTGACATTCTAAAGAAATTTTAAAATTTGAGTTGAAAACATGATTTATACAGTCATGTTGAATATTCTTTGAAAAACATGATTTATACAAATGACTTGGTAATTTGTTGCTTTTATGTCTCTATAGCAACTGAACTACTGAAATTTTGAAATATGACTCTATATGACTCTATAAACTGGAAAATAGATTTGTCTGAACCAACCCATCTCAGTGACAAACTGCAGGTCGTGACGAGGTAGAAACATTATGGGATGTGACCCACAATGCATGCTTACATAACAGATATTGTTAATATTGTTCACAGATTTTTTTGGCAAAATACAGCATACCAATTAAATTAATTATATAGTATTTATACAATATTTCACAATGTACTATATATATATAGACTGTATAGAGTACTTACATCTTGACAAAGGTCACAGATAAGAAAAGCACCCAGCGTAGCTTCTTCATGATTGTCTTGAATATCAATATTWATGACATGTACAGGGGTGTATGTTTCTGGCTCAAAGCTGCCCAGATCTACAAATGAAATTATACCTTCCGATTTAGAACTTCGACTTACTTTGGACTACAGTAAAAATACTGATATAGGGGTGGTGATCGGATGGCAAGAATGAGTTATTTTCACCCCCCTCCAGGCTGACATCACATCTAAGGGCCCGTTTACACTTTTGCGATTTATGCATAGCGATTCTCACGGCAATTGTCGCACGATCATTGCCCGAGTTCCGAACATGCTTGAAAATGTGCTGCAACTTTGCGGTGATTTTCCATTGTCACAGCAATCGCAGGGCTGTTTAGAAGTACAATTTGTGTCGAGCAACCACAAAGTGGTGATTATCACGCCGCAAAAACCTTAAGTGTAAACAGGCCTTCAGACCCTCACCGACTCAATACAAACTGCTCATACTTGCAAGGAGCACACGTGTACTGGGACGAGTTTCTTTTTTTTAAAGACAAATTTAAGACACAAAGATAAATTTAGATTGCAGAACATAGAAAACAATACTGAGACTCCACAGCCCCCCCCCCCTCAAAAAATAGATAAATTAAAAAAATCAAAGAATAATCCAGTTTTAAATTCTCCAATGCTCTGCGTTAACCTCATTTGTGCGCAAAATATTCCTAATTGCGAGAATAAAAGTGTGAGATTTCAAATCAATTTTATTGTTTTTCTTCACAAATTCCATGTGTTTTCTCGGGCCATCAATGAAACAAAGAATATGTTGCTTGGTTTTGAGGCTAACAAAGAGCAAACCAGAACTCAAAATTGGAGTATTGGCATTCATTCTGACCCACTGGTACTAGGCAATATTCACCTTTTGTAATAAACTGAATGTAATAAACAATTCCAATACAAAAATAAATATACTCACGTTCAATGACTTGATCAAATACTCTTTCTTCAGCCGTTATGATAAGGTCAAATTGCTCCCTTGCTTCTTGAAATCTCTCTGGGTGTGTCTTAATTCTTCTGTTTCTATCCAGCATATGTAAAATGCCATTTTGTGTATATCTGAATATTTCTAGTTAAGGACATTTTGATTGAATTTCATTTACACATAAAGTTAAAATATCACGATTGGTCAAGATTGCATTAGATGGACAATATAGGCCAAATATGGGGTCCTCAAGTTAGCTTTGCAGAAATTTGGAGCATCCCACTTTAACATATTTCAGGGGTGTCCCAATTGCTCTAAAGATGAATCAGTGTGGTGTTCTTAAAAACTTAGATAAATGAGGTGTGATTGTGGCGTTGGATGGTAATCAGTCTCAAACACTATCTAGTTCCACTCCTGCTCCCTTTGTCCTGCATATTCCACCTACAGCTGCATACATGACAACTGCAAAGGTGCTCATTTAAGGGGGGATGGCAACAAATCCCATTTCATATTTAAATCAGATCCCACTCAAAAAATCACATCCAATGGCAATTTTGTTCAAAGTTTCAACTTCATTCTTGACTGTCTCTGTAAATCCCATTCCTTTTAATCCCAGCCCATTTTACCCTTACAGGACCCTCTGTGATGGTTCCTACAGGTGTCAACATACCCTGGGGTGGTTGCAAATTGCCAACAAATGCAACTTATGAATTGATTTGTTTGGTAAACATCATGTGGCTATAGGCATAGAAGCCCAGGGGACGGGGAGGGGTGAATCCCTCCCAAACTTGGTTGGGTGTGTGCAGCACGGCCCTYAAAATKTTTTGKGATTTTRCATACCCTACCCCAGACTTAAGGTACAAAGGTAGGTTATTTTAGCACTGAAAGCTTAAAAATCTACCCTATCCCAGACAAAACTACTACCCTATCCCAGACAAATGGGCAAAAAATGATACCCTATCCAGA